TCTAGTGGAGGCCAGTAATCTCTGGATGTTGATGTACAGTGTCATGAGCTGCCTTGTAGCATTTCCACATGGGCGATCTGTTACTTTGCAGCATTAGGATCTGCATTTGATTTCTTACTCTCTTACCTGACGCCTCAGGGATTCGGTAAATCCAGCAGTAATTTACAACTGGCATTCTCTCTGGCTTTGACACATACGCAGTCAAGGATTAAAATCAGTTCTAAAGCAGTTACCACTTGCAGCCATCTGCCCTGCCCTTCTGACGGAGACTGCCAGTGCCACCACAGTAAGTCTAAAAACCCAGTGAAGCAGCTCCTGAACATTTCAAGCCTGTTTGTTAAGGTACATAGTTCCACTTCGAATGTAATGGCTAAGCTGAGAACGGCAGCAGTACAGAAGCTGGTTCGTAAATCGTGCAGCAATCTTTGTCAGAGGTGGGGCAACAACTTGGGCAGCACCCATCTGAGCCATCTGATTTTATTCTGCTTCTCCATGTGAATGAACCCTTGGACTTCATCTATGTTTACGAGTTAGTAAATGACAATCCTTCCAAAAGCAATTGTTTCAGAACAACAGGGCTACTTCAGATGCTTTGCAGACTATTATTTTACTGAGTGCTTTAAAGACTCTCAGTCTTCGTGGGTTACAGTTTTTCACTTTTTTGAAATTTTCACAGCCACAAATGAATCAGAAATGAGGGCGTGCTGCACATCCTCCTTTGAACCCCAGTAAGAACTGTGTTAAGTCACTGTCTCCACATTGGAAAATATCTCTTTCAGACACTTGGGTGCAATGATAAAGCAAACTCAGAAGTATTATATAGCAAATTATGTAGGCTCGTATCTACAGGTTTTTATTACACAGAGTGAACAATCAAAGTAATTATTGATTTTAAATGATAAACTTTTATTCTGAATATACTGTTTTTGCACAAGAATTAACACAACAGTTCTAGGATTATAAACTTTTTTATAACATTATTGTACAAATTTTTACAAAAAATTATTTTTCCAGGCTTGTTAAGTTCCACAAAAGTGTCAAGAGAACACAAGAAAAGGGAGAAAGACCTGCTTGCCTTGTAAAAGCAACCAAGTCTTCTTTTGCAGAAACGCACACTGAGCATTTCAATAAAAATATCCCAGAAAGCATGATCCAGACATTCCATACAACACAAGAAAAGAAGACAGCTTTGTCAGATCACAATCGCAATTTCATGGCATCTGAACAAGACAGTATCCCTTTAGCCTCAGTGAAAATATTTCTTCAAGATGATGTTTTTCTTTTAAACCATAAACAGGACAGATGCAAGTAGCCGGGAAGAGGGTGAGGCTAACTTTTCAAAACTCTTGAATTGCTTTCAGACACTTTGTTTTAATCTTTTTACAGTAGTGTACAATGAGTATTAACAATATTAACATTGTGGTATGAAAAAAATAATAATAAATCTGGCCTTTGTTAAAGGCTTGGATGTCTGATGAAGCTAGGGTAAAATTTATCCTAAGGAAGGAGTTACTAAGATTTCATCTTCAGTCGACATTTCAAAAATACCCGAGTGCGTTGCAGTGCCTTGTAGGCATTAATACCCTTCTTAATAACCAGTGTGCTAGCATCTGAATTTTTAGGGCCGGTGGGACTGAGGTTGTGTTTTGAAATTAAGACATACTAAGCACGTTTTCTGAGCTTAAGTGTAATGGGAACAAAAGGTCTTAATGTCTCTTCAGTGATACCGAAAAACTCTCAACCACAGCAAGTAACACTTGGGTTGCAAAGGTCACTTAAAAGGGATACTGCCTATTTGAACCCAGTAAGGCCAGTTTTTAAGTTAATAAAAGGAATATTATAGGAAAACTTACAAATGGCAGCAACGCTGTTTTTTGTCAAGTTAAGCAGTAAAGCCTCAAGCATTAGAAACATGAAAAAGATCATACTAAAGTCTTAAAGGTACAGGACCTAAAAATCTTGTCAATCAAACCTGCTATGTCATGTTAAAAACCTGTTACAAATATGGACCACGGTCAGTGTTTTGGCAGTAATGCTGGTTGTTTAAATGATACTAGAAAGAAACCTTTCATGTTAAGTCCTCCGATCATGTTTTGCACAGTACCATGCTGTAACAACTTTAATGGTGGTTATGTCAGACATACAATAGGCTGCATGACTTCTGTGTAAACTGAAACAGTCCCAACAGTTCCCTTAGTGCTATTTAAAGGATCTGAGCAAATATCAACAGAGCTTTTTATCTGGCTTTAAAAAAAAAAAAAACTTTTTACAACATATTCTAATTTGAAAATGTCTCAATTTAAAGCCTCAGATCAAGTTTCTTCTCTCACAGACAAGAGAAGATGACTATTATGCATTATGTGAGAGTAAGGATACTCTTCTGCATGAGGATATGTATTTATTCATGCAAGTTATTTCCAACAGACTGGTATTTATATTTTGAGACAGCTAAAGTTCACATTGCATTTTCTATCTGTGTTTTGTAATTTGCAGATATCTAGGTAGTGCATTTTCAAAAATCTTGACCATCACTTGGGTATAATCAAAATATATATTCCTTTCTGCAAAAAGAAGCCAAAATTTCATTTTTTCCTTTTTAAAGTATTGAGTTCTATGGGGACAGTACTAAGCCCTTCTGGGAGGGCCAGATCCTGAGTTTTCTATCAGATGGGTATATTGGCAGCAAGGCTAAGTGTTTATACAGAAACATGTTTCTTCAGGTCATACAGAGGGGTAGAGGAGAGGAACAAAGGACATTTCCCTCTCTGGATAACCCAAGAAGGCTAATGTGTCTGCATGGCACGGGCTTCTCCCTCCTTTTGTATTTGAGCACTCTAAGGGAAGTCGGATGAGAGCAAAAGCCACGGTTGTTTTCTGTGGCAGCATGGCTTTGTACCATCTTTCTTTTTTCCTACAGGCTCTAATCAAATGTTTATTAAGTACCTCAAATTATGGCCTACCAGCGTAAGCAAATTGTTCCAAAATATTAAATAATGTAACTTTTCCATGAAGGGTTTCTTTTGGGAAACTAAGTGAAAACTATAGAGAACTTAACATACCGACAATCTTTCAAGAAATTAAAAGAGCAAAATGCAAACTAATATGTATTTATGTATCTTAGAGTAAAAGCTATGAGTGTAGTAAGTATTGGCCTAATCCTACAAAACTTGTTCCTCCCATAAAATTTCAATTGACCACGTTAAGGAAAAACACAGGGTGCAGCCTCAGTATTAGAAAGACTCAAACCCATTTTTTATCAGGTGGTAACTAGTGATAGGGTGAAGAGAAGCGCAGTAATATGACTGGAAGGTAGAGCTCCAAGATTATCTTCACCCATATTATCAAAATTAGCTCACCTTCCCTGAGGAGGACCTGAAGTCATCCAACACAGTTAAATGTACTTTTAACCCCATGACTTTACTAGAGATATTTTTTTAAGAAGCTAAATCTGATCACTGAACAAAAGGGCAGGTTTTATTTTTTTCACTCACTGTATTCCCAAACATGAGAAAATACATAGCTGGAGCCAAGGTACGTGAGAAAAACAATGAGCCAGCCATGGGTACAACTACAGGAGACATCTGATCTTTTAAGCCATGCCATGGCTTTAAGTAGCTCCTTCAGTTTTCATAGGATATTAATGCGTGCCCAATTATTTCTTTAAGCTTTTGGCGTGATCAAAATTATATCAATCAATTGCCAGCATATACATACCAATGCTTTGCATTTTCTTATTTTTTTAAAGAGCTAGTGTATAGTGCCATGTTAATCTTTGCATATCGCAGTTGTTAGCAGAATTGTACAATACCAGCAGAGTTGCACATTCATCGGTTTAGCTGTCTTGCAATACTGTTTAGTTCTGAAAACTAGAAAAAAAGCGCAAATCATATTTTGCATCAACACTATGCTACACTGTAATATTGTAATTTACTGCACCAATCTGTATCACCAATGAGGTTGTATAAAAACAACTTCTAAAATTATTATTCACAATCAAGTATCAATGTGCATACATATAGATTCAAGGCTCCCCATTTGTTTAGATTTTTTCTAATCTCAGCAACCAGGACATTTTGCTGTTAAATATGCTATTTTCAATAATAAATAGCTACAGCAGAAGTTTTTATACTATGGGTGTTTTTATATGAAGGAAACAAAGGGGGAACCTGATATGAACCTTAGAGAACATATACTTCCAAAAATAAATGTGTTAAATCTGATTTTTATATACTTAAAATATCTGTACACAGGTTTTCATGTGAGATCACTATTCTGTAAAAAATCCAACTCAACCCTTTTGTTAGGATAGCTAAATTTACCCTATTTTCTCAGCTTTTTCATTGCACAGTATATTCAGAGCTCTGTTTCATAATATAATTTAATATGATTTGATTGCAACACATTGCAATGTTCAGTTTCTCACACAATAAAAGATTCACTCAGTTACCTTTTCAATGGACTATACTCTACCATCAAAGAAAACAAACTGAAAAACAATAACATAGCATCATCATCATGCAAAATACCCTTGGAAACCAACGTTCAAATATCACAAAGACATTTTTTATTCACAAGCATTTTTGTTTGAGCCTTTGAAGGATTCTACTAGCTTTATATATAACTGCATTGTGAAAAGGAGGTGAATATTACATTGAAATTAACATTTTTCTGACAAGATGACACCAAGTTTAAGATGAGAATCACTTTTTAGTTAAACTCTCAAGCACCTTTATATTTTTAAAAACAGAAGTTTCCTTACTTCCTTTCTTCCTTTAAACTAACAAGTTACCAACCTACCAAAACTTAGCTGGCTACATGATTCATTTTGGAAGAATGAACCACTCATCATAAATATTTTAATCGTGCTGAACTTCTGATGAAGACTAGCCAATATTTTCATTTTACTCAACTAGTTTGGACAAAACTGATGTTCAAAGCAGCCAACATGGTGCTAGTAATAATATTGGGGAGTGCATTTTCTTTTTTCTTTTTTTTTTTTTTTTTAAGTAACTGTTCATGTAAAAGAATATAAATCTTCAAGATATCCAAAGCTTAAAAGAAATGAAAATCATATACATAAGCTATTGTTAGGGGAGCCCTTTTACATGAAGTCATCAAGATTACAACAACAAACAAACAAACAAAATAATAATCTTAGATTCCCCAATGGAGCACGTACAGAATTCTGTTCGGATGGCATAGATGATGCAGCATTCACACACGTTTAAGGATCCGACACTCCAACATGCAGCCACCGTGGGTGCCTTTATGAGTCTCACAGCGAGTGATAACCAGACACGAGCACTGCTGTTCTGCTGCTGTCTGAATAGCTGACCCTTTTTAAAATGAAACTGAGGCTATTGTTTTGGCCGGGTCTTGATTAAGTTATGCAGGTTTTGGTTTAGCAAGGTCATAACTGGCAGTGTCTGCTGCCAGATAACAGCCAAAGCAGGACCAACTGAATTCCTACCATAGACCACAGTGATGGACTCAGACCAGAGACACCACCGCAGTCGGCCGAATCTTCCTGTTGACAAGAAAAGAAGAAACCAGTTAACATTAAATACAATTACATTTCCTGAGAAATAATCTGCATTTTAGTCTTCGACACTTTGAACTATCCTTGAGGCTTCCTTTTTGGTCTTATATATGTTATTTTGCCTAAAATAACAGCAAAATAATTCCTGGAAGTTTGTCTGATTTTTGATACAAAGAGTAGCATTTACTACATTAACTATAAACATGGGAGGACTAAATGCTTACAAGGCTTACTGCAGTCACTCATGAACTAGATGGGATACTTACACAACCAAACAAGAAATGCTATGGGATATATCTGGGGGGCCCAGTAAAACACATCTATATTCCTTAAAATTACATCGATTTGGAGATTTCTAGAATCACTTTATTGTAAGGAAAGATGGAAGAACGGTTAACTTTTCAAGATTAGAAAACAAATACCAGAATATGTTCATGTCTATTTCATCAACTCGATCTCACATTAAAATGAGTATGCTCTGCAGGTGAAGATATGATCAAAGAGAATGAAAATCCTTTCTCTCTTTCTGATCCTGTATTCAAGGATAAGAACCAAATTTTCTATTGGCTTTTTGTACATGTTTGATGCAGTCTGTAGAGAAGACACCCTCCAGTTTGAGGGCTCACTCTGAGCTGCACCGCTACGTCACACATCAGCGGACCTAACTATTCATTACGCCACACAGCAATCACACCTCTTTTCCCCATTCCTCTTTATCATTAATTGCTATTATTTGGTCCCACTTTGCCTATAATGCATAATATCTTTCACATTATGGATTTATTAATTAGTCTGGCTGAAATACATTTGATACCTGTTCTGGAGTCTGTAACGTCTTTACACCTTGTTTCTCAGGACTGATACAATCTATGTTTAGCTGCCTAAAACACGAGGACGATGTTCCAGCCATCCCCTGCACCGCTCTGTCCACTGACTCTGAGATTCATGGGTAGCTCTGAAGGCTGAAAATATTTGGTCTTCCTCTTATTTTTACTGTATTCTGTACCCATAGTATAAAAAGACATTTCCCATTTTCCAAGAGATGCCAAGCCTCCAAGGACAAGACAACAGTGTAGGTGGGAAGGGACGTAAGTATACTAGGAACTGGGGAAACTTCTTAAACAGGAGGAACATGTGCAGGGAAGGAGAGACTGCACCGTAACAGTAACAGTGCCTGGCTGCTGGCACAGAATTTAAAAAGGTTTTACAACAGAAAGCAGTAGTACGGGTAGTCTGTAAAGGATAATACAAATTGTAATAGCATAAAAGTATTACAGGAAAAGGTAACTGTGATGGAATCTCCATGGGCAGGAAATTGCAGAGTCTAATAATAAAAATGTAATTTTAGGATTGCGCTGTGGACCACCTGATCAAAGTGACAATATCAATCATTAACTGTTATGTAGGATTAGAGAAGGCACTCATAGACTGGATTGATGCCTTATCAAAAAGAGATGTAGAGATCCCATTTTTGGATATGATAAATGACTGCCTTTTGGAACAAACAGTCTTTGAACCTTTAGTGGTGCATGGGGCCCTCTTCAAAATTATTAGTGGAGAGCTGCTCTGTATAGCTCTAGTATAGTTCTAGTAGTTCCTTAGACCACAACGCAATAGGATTTAGCATTGTTGTGTGAGAGATCAGGCCAAACAAATCCAAAACAAAAGATACCAATTTCAAGAAAGGGAACTATATGAAAATTACCAAAAGCAGTTAAAAAAACCCCAACAACTCCAAAGCCAAGAAAAGAGAAAAAAAACCTTAACAAACAAAAAACAGAAAGCAGGAAAAAAACTAGAAGCATCTCAAAAAGCAAGTCCCTCACAGGGATCCAGAAGAATATTTAGAAATATTGCATTAGGTATGCAGTTTAAATGAATGCCACAATTAGAATAACCAACCAACTACCACCCTCACCTCCCTCCCCCAAAAACCCAAGCCCCCCAAAACTGAAAAACCACCAGCCCGCCCTGCCAGGAAAAAAAACAATAAACCCCAAATCAAATCCAAAACCTCAAAGAAACACCCCTGCATGAATCAGTAGGAAAATTAAGTACACTGTCATAGGGAAAAAATCAGTATTTAAGAAATCAAGTTTACTCAAGTGGGCCGAACAGGAAAGCTCATAACAATGGCAGATTAGATATAAACAGGAAATTAGGAGGGCTGATAAAAAACTTTTTATGACCTCCCTGCAAAATATGCTGAAAATGATAGCAGAAAGTTTTGAATAAATCAAAAGCACAAACTCAAATGCGGAGTTAAGGAAACTGCTTGATAACAGAGTTGTAAAGAGGGAACTTGGGGATTACAGGGCATAGCAAAGGACTTCAATGAGTTCTTTGTGTCAGTTTTAAGGGGTGAAGGCTTTAATGAGATTCCCACCACACACAATACATTCTTTAAAGCGGAGAGGTCAGAGGAATCAGAATCAGTTTGGAATAAATATACAGAAAATCAGATAAAGCAGACAAATTAGACTCAATACGTCTTCAGGAATTATAGCATTCACCAACAGTCTCCTTTAGAAACTTGGATATTAAAAAAAACCCAAAACAACAAACTAAAAACCAGCATTCAAGTTCTTCAGAAAGAAAAGAAAAATAAAAAATTAGTTTTGTCATAAAGGAAATAGCTTATGTTAGCTGCCATTCTGTATCAATAGTAGCCATTTCCAGACATGTCTCTGTCATCTGTTAGCTTTATAATTTAGTTCTATAATTTTTGCTTCAGCTTTTTTTTTTTTAGTTGATTGCACTCTAAAAGTTCAAAAATCCTAAGGTTTCTGGTCAAGAAGTAAGTCATAAGTGAACTCTGCTGCACCAGATTTGGAGTAGGATGCTAGGATTTGAAGATGCACTGAACTTTCTGGTTTATTTAGTTTGGCTCTGTCACTTTTTGCATCTGCATTGTGTCTTGTCATGTAGCTTTATTTCTATTCAAAGCACCTAAAAATAACTCTGCTTCTTCCTCACAGTGAGTACCATCAGAAATAGAATTATCAGTAAAGGTTTCTTCTCACATGAATTCAATGAACAGTACTTTGTGTTACCTCTTGGTATTTAAGATTTTTATCACTGAAATTACTTAGAAGAATCATCTTTGAAGAAATAGTTTAAAGCATGAGATTTAAAATTTTCCAACAGAGGGGAAATGTCTGGAGAGTAAGTTAGAAGTAAACTGAAGGTCTTAAAATTGTGCATAATAGGAAGGGGGAAATATCATTATAGTGAAAATGGCATCCAGTATGGATACAGAGTAGATGGACCTCCACATACAGAATTATACAGTACTTAGCTTTCATGTCACCACTGCATTAGATCAAATATTGTGTAAATTATGTCGATGAATTAATCCTACCACTATGTGTACTTGAAAAAAACCCCTCCATTCTGTTGCCCATTTCTATTTGCTTTCTGAATGTTTTTTTTTAAAACTACACCACCACAATTTATGGGCACTGCTTTTACATTCAACAGTTATACCATGTAATATTCCTATTGGATTGAAAAAAAATATTTTAATATCTTTTGCTCTCTCCCTAAGACTACACAGAGCAGTTTTTAAAGGATTCACAACTTCACAACAGTGGAGAATGTCTTGGAAGCCTCACACAGGAAGCTTATGCATCCATCTTCTTATTATGAATGACAGTTACACTGTACTAGACAAAAGTACACAAGGTTTATACACATATTTGAAGGCTGGTGAGATTTTAACCTCATGTTGATCAAAGTCACATTGAATTTCTGAGGTTTGTAGACCAATTTACAGTGGTAAACCAGCAGTTCTGCCAACAATTTCTAAATATTCTCTCTGGAATCAGTTATTCTTTTGTGTCCTAAGCCAAGACAGAAATAGTAGTGGCAAAGAAGGTACAGTAAATCCTATCTAAATTACTTTTCCTCCCCAGCATTGCCCATTGTAATTTTCTTGTGTGCTTTAACTGTTGTGAAAATTACAAGAAATGTAAAAAAAAAAAAAAAAAAAGGAGAAAGTCTGATTACATGGTGATTTACATAAATTCAAAAAAGCAACACTTTTATGAAAATGAGTGGGATCCCATCACTAATTTGGAACCAGATTGAGCAAAACATCAGTTTTGAATGGTCTTCAAAATATGTTTTTTGAAAACACTTTCCCTATTCCTGAGCTTTAAGAAAACTACTCAACTGTTTCCTGTAAATGTTGGTTTGGAGATTTCTTATAAAATTTCTTATAACAAATTACATAGCATCATTTCGTCTTATCTTTACCTTATCTTATCTTTACCTCTGCCAGTGCAACTAGACACTGAACTATTTTTAAGCAGTTCCACTGAAATTTTCCGGCCCATGACATTAGTCACTACTACATTAGTCACAGAGAAAACCTGAATAAGCAACAGATCCATTGGGAAGTCCTCTCTTTGTTGTCTTCAAAATAATATTCTGTATGTTATTTCTCTTTGAGGAGAGAAAGAATTGGAAAAGAAATTGGAAAGAATCCTCTTTAGCCAGTTTCATTTCATTAGAAGCGTATCACATTTCTTGCATTAATAAGTCACATGTCAAATTTCCTTGCATGTTTGAGGTAGAGAAGCATCAAATCCAAATGTCATCTCCTTCATGTCATGCCTTACTATAATAACTCTAGAGAGGGTTATTTTACAACATCACACACTGTGAAAATTATTCAGCACTTGCAGAGTGGAAATGAATGCTTTTATAAAACCATATATTCATTGTTAGGTATCAAACCCACATACTCATTGCTATATATCAACATTTCCTTGAAGGCAGGGACAGTCCAAAATTTTGAAGACACACATGGAAATATAAATACATATATACATACACATACATGTCTATGTCTATAAACATATTTGCTACTCCTTTAGAAGTATACTATAACTATTTAATGTACTAAAACTTCATCTTGAAACCTTAATAATTTATCAGAACCCATTGTGCTACACTGACTATAAAAAGGATAAAACAGCAATAGCTGCCAAAGAGCTTCTGATCTGGCCTTTGATATCAACTGGTTACTTCAAAATTTACACCTTGTATAAGCATATATTTTAAGTGCTTCACACTGCACAGCGAACACCTTTGCTTTTACTGAAGAGTCATTTCAAGTTCCAATGCACGGTCTTTCACAAATTTTGTGTTACCCTCTTTTGTCTGGACTACCACACGAAGCTGCCAAAGCTGTACAGCTCCCCCCACATAGATCAGGGACACAGCCAATCCCATCAAGATGTATACAGTTGTCTGGGCTGCTAATCACCCTCAAAGCTCCCACTGACATCCCTGGGAGCTGATGGAAATAAGACATTCCCAGAAGGAGCTAAAATCTTGTAGAGTTCTCTTTATTCTCAGCTATGGGAAACAAAACCAGTGTGCATGTACAAAGTAAGAGCAAGCTATTCAAGGGGGTGATAAAGACTATTTTGTTATCCTTGATGAAAAAAAAACAAAAAACAAAAAACAAAACAGCTGCCGTTATTGAACCTGATCAGCTGGTTTGTATCTGTGTTGGCTTCAGTGATTTTAATAAAACTACACAGATTAATTTCCAGTGAGAACTCATTTCCAAAATCACAAAGTTATTAAAAACAGGATGGATGAACTAAATTACCTTTATAACTTTCTGCTGCCAAAAGTCTATCAGCTAAAATTATATTTAGTGGGTTTCCCAGTATTTTGGTTTGCCTTCTTGAGCAGAAAGACCATTTTGGACACAAAGAATTCAGCTCAAGGTGAGTCTCTGCTGCTTTATGTACATTGCACAGTAGCCTTTTAATTAAAATAAGGTTACTAGTAGAGCAAATTGCATGAGTAAGAACATGAGATGTTAATCTTCTAGATTTTAATGTGAAATACCACTGGCTTGGGAGAAGGGACTTTCACCCTTCCTTACAACCTTCAGCCATGGCTGTGCAAGTGCCTAGGTTTGCTAGTAATTAGATCATTTAAATACAGAATAGGAAACTTCAAAATTACTCAAATACAGCTGTTAAACAGAACTTTAAGGTTTTTTTCACTGATGTTTGAGTGATATTAATTGAGCCTTCACCCAAGTATAAAGAGAATATAAATTATTGAGAAAATGAGTATTCTAAATTGTTAGAATTTTCAGTATTTTACTACACTAACTGTGAAAAATGACCTCTAAGTGTCCATTTCTACCACTCATGTTGGCTTTACTTTGATAGATATGTTAGTATCTCCCTCTAGTGGTTTTCTGAGTAATAATATTGATCAGAAAGCCCTCCAGTGTAAAAGGTCATGAATTTTATTCTCTTTAGATCGGCAGTTCTCTTGCATACATGTCACTAGCACAGCAGTGTACACTCTCACACCATTAAATGCAACAAAACCTAAAATGTCAAGGCTTTCGTTATGAACCCCCGAGTCTGCACTAGCTCAACATGCAGGACTTCATGTATCCATGTATTTCACCAGAAGGAGAAAAACACCGTCTACTGCAATTAGGCAATGAACATGTTTAGCTTGGAAAAAATTAAAAAGTAAAAAATATGATTTTACTGAATTCATAGTTTAACCAAATTGATGCACACTATTACCTTCCATCAACACTTGTGTTAATTTGAATGCAGTGAAAATTCCTTACTCTTCCCAATAGCAACACTTACCCTTGCTATCCCTAAGTACAGCTTTATTTTCACAGGTATTATAGTCTCTTGTAATTACTTTGTACCTTTGTTTGTCTCTGTGCAGAAAACTTTCTTTTTCTGTTTCATTTTAACAGGGACAAGGGAAAAATGTTTTGAAGGGAATGACACTGACTCAGTTGGTACATGTGCAATCTCAAAGAGCCAACCATATAAACCCAACAGGTTCCCGTGTCTTTGTATTTGCTATGGGAGAGGCCCTTGTGTTCTGTAATTGTGATTTATAAGGCTCCAGACAGAGTTTTTTCATATTTAATTTCCCTTAATATTGCAAGAGTAATTTGCTCCAGATTGCTGCTTTTGGGACTCGCTTCATTCTGTTTTCTTTTGTATGCTCAGTAAGTAAAAAAGTCTGCTAATTTTTTAAGCCAAGAACAAAACAAAAAATTAGAGAAAGTAACTGACCATCCACACCACATGAAAACTTGCAGAAAAATGAAGATAGGAGCGGACGTCATGGCAGAGGCACGACTCGTTGTGCATATAGGCTGATCCTATTAATAACGGGCAAAGTAGCAAGTAGAGGAAAGGAAAGAAAACACAGAAAAAAAGACATACAAGATGAGATATCATGCAGATTGCTGGCAGTTAGCAGAGTTAATGTGAAAGCATCCACCCAAGAGCAAGAGATTCACAGCAAATTTTGCAAATAAACTTAACCAAAACAATCCACTGTTACAAAACACATGACTTACACACTGATTAGCACATCAAGCTAGTGAGCAAGAGTTGTACTTTCACACACAATCCTATCAGGATGATTTGGAATATTTACAACAGCCAAATAGCTTTTGGATGTTTTTTCAACTTTGTTTAACCTTTGTTGGCCAGTAAGCAGACCTCTGTTTTAAAAATGAAATTTGGTTACTAGAAAAATGCATTGAATACCGACTGTCCGGACTTTTTTTAACACTACTGACATCTCAGTAATTGTGCCTCATTAAAGAAAAGCAGAGAATATACTGGAACAAAACTTGGTATACAGCAGCTATAGCCAGCTAACTGCACTAGTTTTGGACAATCTTTCCTTTGCAGAAATGGGATGAGGCATTACAAATGCATTTAAAAAATATTTATTTTATATAATGGCAGGTACTTCCCTGTTCAGTACTTTTTGACTTGAAATTTATTCTGAACAATTTGAATTCAACATATCCCCTTTCATACAGTATTTTGAAAGGTAAGACAGAGAGTATATTCAAAATAATTTATATATGTGGCACAGTTATGATTTTTCTCCTTCAAAACTGTAAAGTATACAATACAGGGAGTACTAAACAGCATAGTTTTGCTGATTTCAGTAAAGAAATGCACTTTTATACCTGTTAAGAATGTGACCTAAGATCAATACACATTTGGATAATTTCTGAGAGGAACAACTTCATAAACCAGATATACTGTTTTCAATCATTTAACAACACCTTAAATAATATTTGGAAACTCTAATATAAAAATATTACTTCTAAGTCAGGATTATCATCTATTCATGAAAGACATAGAAGAACTGAATTTCACAGCATTGTACAGAGACCATCAGTTTTATGCTCGCTGATGGGTTTTTTTTAGTGGGAATCATGTGTGAAAGTGCAATGGTTATAGGAAAGGCAGATAAGAAAGCAGCTGTTAATTTTATGTTAATCATGGGATACTTGAAATAGAGTGGCTATGGTCTAGAGTGAACAGTATGTTTAGTGATAGATAGGTTATCAGGCATCAAGGTACTCTTAAACATAATTTTCACTGCTCTTCTAAAACAGCTCTACAATTGTTTTTAAAGATAGTCTTAAAAGTTTTACAACTTCAACTTTACCTGTTTGGCTTCATCAAAACAGACATCAGGACCCTTTCTGTATCTAGGTTGTTTGACCATTTCACAAGGATTTGGCCCTTCATCTGTTTCTCTGGTTAAGGAGCATGACTGTTTTTTGTGCATCGTACATTAGCAGGATTAACATTCTGTTTTTACTTTTGAGAGAGAAGTTTTATGCTAATTCAGATAGTACTGAAATAAACATCAATAGTCACAGTTCCTTGTTCAAATTAAAGAAAACCAAACCAACCCAACTGTCCAGATAAATCAAAATCAAATACCCTTTTTTTTTACACTGCTTTAATCAAGAAAATAAACATCCCGCATGACTTTTTAGAACCGGTACTTCCAGAACTGTACACAAAATACAAATAAAAGCTGAGGTTTTTTAAGATTTTCTGTATTGCTTTTATTACCATTGCATAAATATTACAGAAATTATTTGATAAAGTAGTAGAGTTTCAATGGTGCTGATTGGTTATAGCGTATGTTACCATTGAGTTATTCTGCTAAAATGAAGATACACAGTAAAAGTGAAAAAGCCTGTTTGGAAAAGTAATGGTATATACGGGCTGAAAATTGCAGGAAGGCATGTAAGAACTACTGGTTTTACTATGTCTACACCTATATTACCCCAAATATCATAGACAAAATCATCCCACTGTCAGCTTTGATAGTGAATGACAAAAAACCTAATCAGATCTCATTAGCATTTCAGCGATGAAGGGAGACAGAGAAAATGCTGTCCAAACTAACACCAGAACAGCAGGCTAGAAATGGGAGCAGTGACATGCTCTTAATTAGCTAACTGTAAACACGAGGTAATGCTTTAGCTTACATCTCTGAATTTAAGTATAAATACTATAATTCACATTTGCCACAGGCTAACAAGGGACACAAGTCATTGAAGCATACTTGAAAGGTACAGATATGGTAAACTGCAAACCCATCTTCTGTTGGAGCCTGCTTATATTACCATTCAGTATGTTAAGCTTTCTTTATTCCACTCTTGGTAGTACACTCATTAAAGCTAAGCTAGTGTTTTTAAAAAAATTAAGCACCGAAACTTTACCTATCTTAGTAGCTCTAACTTATACTTGACGCAATCCTATTCATGCACTACTGTGGAGTACTACAGGAGCTTCACTGCGATGAGTGGAGATGCCCAATGGAAGAGAAGGCAAGAGGACGGGGAATTGTTCTACAGATCTACATCTGTCTTCATTCAGATGTTATCAGATTCAGCTCCCCTTCCCTCTGCCGGGGCCCAGCTGAAAGGGAAGTCGAAACGTAGAAATATTTTCTAAAAGACCATGTGCACAAGCAGAGCTGTACCAGCCAGAAGGAAGCAGAGTCTAATAATAACCATCTGAATAGCACCCAAAGGTCACTCTGTCTGCTTGTGTGATGCTATGCTACATCTGCATTTCACAATGTATCTTAGTTATATAAAAGAGAGAATAGCTTAGTACTGCACAGTTGGAACAAAAATAAAATAGTTCATTTAGTCAATATAAGCCCACCCAGCTGCTCTGGCTGCGATTTGAGGTCATTTACTGCTTTCTAGAAGGTTTGGGCCCCACAAGGAAATGCAAATCATGTGCCCATTTCCCATCAAACGTGCTTCATTTTCTATAGCAAGTGCTGTCTATAAATTCAGACAGTGGCAACAGTTAATCAAACTGTCATGGACTGGAGCCAATTAGAATATTTGGCTGTGTTTACATAGTTCTGTGATGACATGGATATTGCTTCCACCCCAATGTAACTTCCTTTTCAGCCCAAGCGTAGATGGAATTCGAGTTTTATTAATGTAGCAATGAGTGCGTTGCTTTTGCCAAAGAAACAGTCATCTCTACTACCACCTGCTTTTCTTTCAGGAATGGGAGAGGCTGTCTCAACTAACTTCCTGACATGGACAAAGGAATTACTAATCATTTTCCATATTCTGTCATAATAATACAAATTATGAGTTGATTTACCATCTCTGGCATGCTATCCTCAAGCATATACAGCAGAGAAAAACTGAGGCGAATTTCTCCTGGCCTAGAATATGTGTATGTTGGTTTTATGTATTTCTGTCACCATTGCCCATAGGTAGCTACTGGAGTGAACAGGCTAAAGGCACAGAGATTGGCATGAAGGTGGTTGTAAATTAGAGTAACTTTCCACATGCTTTTAATTTTAATGCATGTGTTGCAAGGGCTCTGCTCAGCATGTATGCCACCTATGTCTCCAGTCAGTTCTGAAGAAATTCTATGCTAGCAGCTGGATAAATTTTAGCCTTTGATGGTTAAAGCAGTTTCCACAAGAAATAAGCAGTTCTTGTTGGCACTGAGCACACACTAAAGTTCCTCCATCACTTCACCTCCGTATTGCAGGCATCAGTGCAGCATCCCAACTTTTCAGGACCAAACACTCTTACCTTGGTGTCACCCTTTTTTGTTATTTCTCTAGACAGGCATACCCTTGTCTTTTCTAAAGGCTGAACAAACCCAGGACTCTCAGGCTCCCCTTGCCTGTCCTGTGCTCCAGATGCCAACCACCTTGGTGGCACTTCACTGGACTTCCTCCAGTATGTCAGTGTGGTACTGGGGAGCCCCAAACTGCACACAGCACTCCAGATGTGGGCTGACTGCTGCTGAAGAGATGGGATGGATTAATTCTCCCAACCTGCTGACTACACTCTAGCTAACATAGTCCAGGATGTTACTGACCCTCTTTATTGCAAGGCATAGTGCCAACTGATGTTCAGCTTCTTGTCCATCATGTTCCTCACTCAAGTCGTTTTCTGCAAAGCTGTTTCTAGTCACTCTGTCCAGCTGCATGTCGTTATTCTGTCCTGGATCCAAGACTTTGCATCTGCCTTTTGGAAACTTCATTAAGTTCCTGTGAGCCCATTTCTATTTAAGTCCTCACAAATAACAGCTTTGCTCTCTACCTCAATGACTGCTGCCTCAGATGATTTGTGATATCACCCACAAATATCTGCTGCTTCAAGTTCTCCAGTGGCAATCGTGCTACTAATATGTACATAAACAGGCCATTTTTTTCCAAATATATTCCAGTATATCATAGCCAAAAATCAATCCACACTACTAAATAATGTGATTTTAAAGGATACCCGGCTTCTCCGCTTGCATCAGTGGCTTTGGGTCACAGGAGCGGCACAGCAGTTGGCTGTCACTAATAATGAATACTAGATTGGTGTTTGAAATCTTCTCTGCATGATAAAGTCTGGAAAAAAAGCCCCCAAAACCCTATGTTTAAATGAAGCAAGGAAATCCATTTGAAAAGGAATAAAAGTAATCCAACTTCATAGATTTAGTCTGCCTGCTACTGTTTATCTTTTCCATTAATGAAGAGCAAGAAACATTTATAACAAATTTTGTAATCTTTTCATCATTTCCACAGTTCCCCCTTTCAACTAGACAACTTAGTGGGAAAAAAGGAAAAGAGCATAAAGTGACTTTAATTGAGTTAATAGCTAGGTCTGTACTGCTACAACAGTAGCTGTACTGAGAAATAAAATCAGTTCAGCATCAATTCTTCCCCTGACAACACTGAGAAAACCCCCAACCACAAAACCAACCAACCAAACAAACAAAACCCCAACACATAAACCTGTCTGTAGGAAGGGTGAGAAGGAGGTTTAGGGTATGTATACTATGTATTGGATGTGTGTTTGTTGTATTTTTATGTACATATATTTCCACAAAAGGCTTTTAAGTTGGTAGGGTCATTTTCAATTTATAAATAATTGAATAGGCAGCATTATACCTTTAAGCTATAGATACTACACGTCATGCCTTAGATACTAAAGGTAAGGATATTTCTGGATTTTTCAAGGATAATTTTTATGTACAATTTAAATTTACTGAAAGGCAGGCAGACCTTCAAAAAAGCAGAGAAAGAAATCTTAATATTTCTTAGTCATTAATAAAAAAACATTCTACCTGTCAAAGAAAGGTAAATTTAGGACAAACTAACAGGTTAATTGCTTTTAGTGAATTCTAAATACATTTTCATACACATATAAAATAACAAGCAAGTCTTTTCATATAGGTGGTTACCACTCCATATAAGCAGAGTTTTATTACTTCGGTGTGAATTGATAGGATTATTTCTGAACTTTCATAGATGATGAGTTTGTACCACTGATTGGGTACAATAAGAGGACAAAATAACTGTTGATTAAATAACTGATGTTGTAATTACATATCTGGTTGTTTTAACAAGCTTAAATTGTCCTTTCATACTCATTCCCACACTGTGGCACTATTTTTGCAATATTAGCATAATAATATCTGTAGTCTTTCAGTAAACTGAACTAAAGAACTCTTCTGAAAACTCTCCAGATTAAAAAAAACAACACAACCAAAAACCAAAGGAAAAACCCCTACAAAAACAAAACCAAAAAACCCAGCTTAGTGAGTTCTCTGCACAACCAGGTGCCACACATACTAGCAACATGGAGGAGGAAGTATGGAGGTGGGAAAAAATGCCTGCGTGTTTTGGCTGTATTCACCGTTCTCCAGTGTCCGTTGTCTTTCTTTCCTGGCTTGAAATACTGTCTTCAAGGAGTTTGAAATCTGACTGTTAATTTTAATTTCTAAGACATTTTCATAAATTCCTAATGTATGCAAACCTTCAACACAGCAGGCTTTTGTACGAAACACAGAACTAGGTCCAAGTTGCTATGTTTCTGAAGTATCCAATTTTTTTAACATAACATTAAACATCATCTTGAATAGGCACATGGAGCCTGAAGAGTAATTCTTTTAATCACAAAACAAAACAGCATGGTTTGCTTAATAAGACCCACAGCTCATAAATCCTGAGCACTGTTGACTAGAAGGTAAATTTGAAGATAAATTGCATAATCTTCTTGACCATCAAAAATTCCAACACACAACCAGATTAAAGAAAATAAACTCCTGAATATTGCAGAATGCCTTTAAGTTCACGTAATAAATTAAAGGAAAACAAATTGTAACAGGGATAGAAATACAATTTTAATGGAGCATATAGAGACTATAAAACAAAAATTTGACTAAAATTTTTCTTGAATTCTTTAATTATTAAAATTAAAGTTAATTCTAAACAAATACAAAGAGAATGCAATTTATGATTTTACTGCCTATATACTTCTCTGTCTTGCTTACGTAAGTTTGATGTAAGTAATCAAAAATATGGTTTTTGTTCTTATAATAGTGTCATTATCTTTTGTAAAATAAATGAATATCCAAAAGTTATTATTTATATTGAAGAAATTTTACCTGGAGCAGTTTATACAGTCTACAATCCCACTAAAGGATTTATCATCATTTTCAAAGAAATACTGAGTTTGCTCAGTGATACAGCTTGTTTTAGGCAGAGCAGCACTGAAATCATCATCTTCCATATCAGCTGACAGAAAGAAGAAAATAAATAAATAAACAATGACATTTTTAAGTCACAAATGCAATGGGGACATCCAAATATGGCCCCCAGCCTAGATTCTTACCTTCTACTTCACTCAAAGTTGACTCTTTAACATTCTCTTGACTTACCTGCTTCAAGGAAACGTGGAAAAGTCAAGCTCAAAAACAGCTGCTGTAAGATAGACCTGAACACAGAAAGACAATATATATTTTGTTAAAGGCTCTTTGTCTGCTTTGTATTTTAATGGATCCTTAAAAACTACTCAAATAAGAGTTATTAACAACAAAATCATCATGGCTTATTATGCTTTTGCCAGTCATTAAAGCTGTGTTTCCTTAAACCTTACAGCTTGACTCTGGTTTTCTTTTCACACTTTCTCCCAGGTCTTCTTTCACACTAATATTTTCTTCTACTGTTGAGATTTGCTATCCTTTGTGCCCATAACTCACATAATGGAAATGTTATCATGCCATCCATGTCCTCCTTTTATACCTCTGCAGGAGGTGGAAGAGGCATGTTGGTATTCCTCTAACACTTCAACCAGCCAGAACTCTTTTTGAACACGCTCAGGGAAAATGTTCCTTAATTAGATACTTTACACTGATTAAGGTTCATTAAATTGCTGAGAAGGAGACAAACACTGGAATATTACAAGTATATTATAAAAATCCTTACTGTAGCAGTTGACTTTTAAAATCATCTCTATTCCTGCTCTTGAGGCATGGAATATATTTTCCTCCTAGATGCTGCCTAAATACTTAGGCTTAGAGAGCTCCATTTATTTCAAATTATTTTTCTTCACTCATCATCATATTTTTCCTATTTACTTGAAACAAATATCAGCTTGCCACATACATGGCCCCCTTCTCATCTACCACCCTGTCAAAACAGGAATTGCAACAGTTATATTCCTTGACTCCCTGCTTCTGCTTAAACCTTCCTAAGTTGTAGTTTCCTGTCATCGTGTTTTAGGTTTGCTTCTACCTACAAATACGATCTGATCTCTCCTCATCTCATTGTGTTCTACTGCCTCTTCTGCAGAAAGAAGGAACTGTATAACTTTATTCAACCTCCACGATTTTTTCCTTTTCTCCTTATCCAGCGAGATCCACGTGTAAAGAAACTGAATCCGTCTGTCACCTTTCCAGTGAAGGCATTGCCTGGAGGAGCGCTGGATTCACATCCACAGCTTTGTGCCATGAATCATCAGATGGACAGCGCAACAACTGTCATGGATGAGAAGAGACCTGATGCCATTCAACAGTGATGCAATTTGCTGACAGAAAATAGAAATCCTTCATAAGGGCTTCCCACAGAATTTACAGGGAAACGAGTGAAAAAGGCAGCCTGGGAAAATGCTAAAATCTTCTGAGTTAAAAGAGCATGGAGGAGAAATGATATGTACTCTCTTAACTAAATGCTGATGTATCCCATATCAAATTTGAAAATTATCACTCACACCTTTATCCCACATTGTTGCCTGAAACACTATAGTTTTCTTTAATAACATGGTTTCTCTTATTTCCCTGCATTTGTGTTTGCCAGGTGCCTCACTGAAACCATTTTTGGTCAGTCCTTTTCATTCTGCTTGCTTAATGGCCTTCTCTGCCTGCTTCTGACCTAGATTCCATTAAAAACATGTCTGTAGAAAGTACTTTCATGTGGTACTTTCAAGTTAAACATCACACAAAATAAAACTCGGGTCTAAATTGAGTCCAGACCACTGAGTCTGATTTGAACACTGATAAACTAAAGTTTCTCTGTTTGAGAAGAGCTCAAGTTCCTCTTCTGGATTATTGCCCATCTCCAGTGTTTGAGGTTTGCTGTTGTCCAAGAAAACCGAGATTTTTGCTGTTGCTGTTAACAAAATGTAACTGACAATAAAATCCAACATACAATCTCCATAGTGCTATCTGTGAGAAAATAAATATATGTTTGTTCAGCTGCTGTATATTTTAGCTCTTAGCTTAATAAAGTAGGTAATTTACTCCAGCTTGATAATTATTATAAAAAAATAGGCACCATGAAACTTTAGAAAAAGGAACAGTCTCCAGGGGTGCAGTTCACACCAGTGAAAAAGTGTCACATCAGTATCAAATACTTATTCGAATGTGGTGCTGGAGGAAGCAGGTGATAGGGATGTCTATCTACATAGCTCTGAAATAGGTAAAATTATTTCTGTGGCTATTATTAATAATGCACAAACCAAAGTCAAAAGAAAAGAAAGCTCCTAAATGGATCTTTAGTTTTAAAAAGCATCCAGTATTCTGATTGTGAAAGATAAATGTAATTACTGGGGCAATCCTGCCTCTCTCAAGGTCAATCCCAAAACTCCACAACAGTCCAAATATACTAACTTTTCCCCTCAGCTATAGAAATTGCTAGGACAGTGACTATAGAATTATCCAAAATGGTTTATATATATATCTGCTTCCTTGAAATAGTTCAGTAGTGCTTTTCACATTCCATTTCAAAGAACCAGCTAATAATTATCACGAAAACCTTAAACTGAACTGTGCCATCAGATAACATATCGGTTATTCTGCATCCTGAAGCAAAAATTCTTTACGTTTTGTAATAGAGAAACTTCTTTGCTCACAAGCTAGCGAGGCTCGTTGACAGGGCTTTAAATTAGACTTGAAGGGGGAGGGGGATAATATCAGGCTTGCCTGTGAGAAGCTGTGGGATGATACACCAAGGTTAGAGGGACGGGGTGCTAGTGAGGGCCCTCAGCCTGTGGCTCTGAGATGTGCTGTCTACACTGCAGCACACTTGAAGCCTTACGGGGATGAGCCAGGGGCTCCTGAGGTAAAAGGAGCCAACAGGGAAACACTAGTGAAATACCTCATAAGAATTAAGGGGTGTTCCTCTAAGAAGGTGGCACGGCCGACAGCCGAGCTGAAGTGTCCCTACACCAATGCACGCGAGACAGGCAACAAACAGGAGTTGGAAGCCACCGTGCTGCTAGAAAGCTATGACCTAGTAGCCATTATTGAAACTTGGTGGGACGAATCCCATGACTGGAGTGTGGCTGTTGATGGCTACAGGCTGTTCAGAAGGGAGAGGCGAGGAAGGAGAGGTGGGGGCATTGCCCTCTACATCAAGAAATGGATAGAGTGTGAAGGGCTGTCTCTGAAGAATAGCCACAAGCAGGTTGAAAGCTTATGGGTAAGAATCAGAGATTGAGGCAACAAGGGCAACCTTGTGGATGGTGTCTACTACGGGCTGCCCAATCAAGGGGAGCCTATTGACGAAGCCTTCTTACTCCAGCTACGGGAGGCATTGCGCTTGCAGGCTCTTGTCCTGCCGGGGGACTTCAACCACCCCAACATCTACTGGAAAAGTAGGACGGTGAGCTATAGGCAATCCAGGAGACTCCTGGAAAGCATTGAGCATAACTTCTTAAGCCAGGTAATAGACAGCCCTACCAGAGGGGATGCGATACTGGACCTGTTGGTCACCAACGCAAATGATCAAGTCAGTGATGTCAAGACTGGAGGCAGCCTTGGCTGCAGTGATCATGCACTGGTGGAGTTCACAGTCCTGAGGGATATGGGTCAGGGAAAGAGTAAAGTCAGGACCCTGAATTTTAGGGAAGCAAAAGTCCAGCTGTTCAAGGAGTTAGTCAATAGGACCCCCTGGGAAACTGTCCTCAGGGACAAGGGAGCAGAACAGAGCTGGCAGATCTTTAAGGACACTTTCCATAGAGCACAAGAGCTCTCGATCTCCAGATGTAAGAAATCAGGAAAGGAAGGCAAGAGATCGGCATGGCTGAATTGCGACCTGCTGGTCAAACTAAAGGGCAAGAAGGAAATGCACAGGCAGTGGAAGCAGGGACAGGTATCCTGGGAAGACTATACGGACACTGCCCAGTTGTGTAGGGATGGGGTCAGGAAGGCCAAGGCACAGCTGAAGATGAACTTGGCAAGGAATGCAATGAGTAATAAGGGCTTCCATAGGTATGTCATCCAGAAAAGGAAGGTCAGAGAAAGCGTACCCCCCTGATGAACAAGACTGGCAAACTGGTCACAATGGACGAGAAGAAGGCTGAGGTACTCAACAACCTTTCTGCCTCAGTCTTCACTGGCAACCTCTCTTCCCACACCTCTCAAGTGGATGGACCACAAGACAGGGGCTGCAGGAGCAAAGTCCCCCCCACTGTAAGAGAAGATCAGGTTCATGACCACCTGAGGAACCTGAACATACAGTCTATGGGACCTGACGAGATGCATCCCAGAGTCCTGAGGGAAATAGCTGATGTATTTGCCAAGCCACTCTCCATGATATTTGAAAAGTCATGGCAGTCAGGTGAAGTCCCTGGTGACTGGAAAAAAGGGAAACATTGCACCCATTTTTTAAAAGCGTAAGAAAGGAGGACCGTGGGAACTACTGACCTGTCAGCCTCACCTCTGTGCCTGGGAAGATTACGGAACAGATCCTCCTAGACACTATGCTAAGGCACATGGAGGACAGGGAGGTGACTGGAGACAGCCAGCATGGCTTCACCAAGGACATGTCCTGCCTGACCAATCTAGTGGCCTTCCATGATGGAGTGACTACATCAGTGAACAAGGGAAGAGCTACAGATGTCATCTGTCTGAACTTCTGTAAGGCCTTTGACACGGTCCCCTATGACATCCTTCTCTCTAAACTGGAGAGAGATGGATTTGATGGGTGGACTGTTCGGTAGATGAGGAATTGGTTGGATGGTCGCATCCAGAGGGTAGTGGTCAATGGGTCAGCATCCAGATGGAGATTGGTGATAAGTGGTGTCCCTCAGGGATCTGTACTGGCACCAGTACTGTTTAATACCTTCATCAGTGACATAGTGAGATCAAGTGCACCCACAGCAAGTTTGTAGATGACACCAAGCTGAGTGGTGCGGTTGACATGCCTGAGGGATGGGATGCCATCCAGAGGGACCTGGACAAGCTTGAGAAGTGGGCCCATGTGAACCTGATGAGGTTCAACAAGGCCAAGTGCAGGGTCCTGCACCTGGGTTGGGGCAACCCCCAGTATCAACACAGGCTGGGGGATGAAGGGATTGAGAGTAGCCCTGCCAAGAAGGACATGGGAGTACTGGTGGATGAAAAGCTGGACATAAGCCAGCAATGTGCTTTCGCAGCCCAGAAGGCCAACTGTATCCTGGACTGCATCAAAAGAAGTGTGGCCAGCAGGTTGAGGGAGGTGATTCTGCCCCTCTACTCCACCTTTGTGAAACCCCACCTGGAGTACCGTGTCCAGCTCTGGAGCCCACAGCACAGGAAAGACATGGACCTGTTGGAGCGTCCAGAGGAGGGCCACAAAAATGATCAGAGGGATGGAACACCTCTCCTGTGAGGAAAGGCTGAGAGAGTTGGCATTGTTCAGCCTGGAGAAGAGAAGGCTCCAGGGAGACCTTATAGCAGCCTTCCAGTACCTAAAGGGGGCTTATAAGAAAGATGGGGACAAACTTTTTAGCAGGACCTGTTGCGATAGGACAAGGGGTAATGGTTTTAAACTAAAAGAGGGTAGATTCAGACCAAATACAAGGAAGA